GGCACCCTGTCTCCACCACGCGCGGCACAGCAACCTCGCAGCGCCGGCGCCCAGCACCCTGTCTCCACCACGCACACAGCCAGCCAGCCAGCACCCAGCGCCGGCACCGGCACGCGCACGGCCAGCAGCACCGACACCCTGTCTCCACCACGTCGCGCACCCGCCCCGGCACCCTGTCTCCATGCACCACGCGTACACCCAGCACCGGCACCCTGTCTGCACCACGTGCACAGCCAGCTCACAGCACCAGCACCCGCACCGGCACCCAGCACCAGCACCAGCAACCTGTCTCCACCAAGTGCACAGCCAGCTCACACCAGCACCCGGCACCACCAGCGGCACCCGGCACCCAGCACCAGCGCCGGCACCAGCAACCTGTTTCCACCACGTGCACAGCCAGCTCACAGCACCAGCGCCACCAGCACCCAGCACCCAGCACCAGCACCAGCAACATGTCTCCACCACGTGCACAGCCAGCTCACAGCACCAGCACCCGGCACCACCAGCGGCACTCGGCACCCAGCACCAGCGCCGGCACCAGCAACCTGTTTCCACCACGTGCACAGCCAGCTCACAGCACCAGCGCCACCAGCACCCAGCACCCAGCACCAGCACCAGCAACATGTCTCCACCACGTGCACAGCCAGCTCACAGCACCAGCACCCGGCACCACCAGCGGCACTCGGCACCCAGCACCAGCGCCGGCACCAGCAACCTGTTTCCACCACGTGCACAGCCAGCTCACAGCACCAGCGTGCACAGCCAGCTCACAGCACCAGCACCGGCCCCAGCACCAGCACCGGCACCCGGCACTCAGCACCAGCACCAGCAACCTGTCTCCACCACGTGCACAGCCAGCTCACAGCACCAGCCACCAGCACCAGCACCGGCGCCCGGCACCCACCACCAGCACCGGCACCAACCTGTCTCCACCACGTGCGCAGCCAGCTCACAGCACCAGCACCGGCACCCGGCACCAGCACCAGCAACCTGTCTCGAAAGCGCGCTTTGCTATCTGGGGAAATATTAAAAAGAAAAAAACAAAAGTGTTCTTTCTTCTACCGCATTTGCCTGAGTCCATCAGCTATGGATTTTACCGAAAGGTGGAGGAAACTCGGTAAAAATATAATTTGTGCTGCATTGGCCGGGTCCCTCAACTATGAATGTTACCGAAGGGTGAATAAAATAGAAAAGAACACAATTTTTTCTGTGAGAGGTGCGAGCGGGCACCTCGTAGCAAAACAACGCGCGCGAACCGGCTTAAAGAAAGCATTTGGGTTTCTAGTGCCATGGGAAAATCCAGAAAATAGGGCTCTTTCCAGAACCTGTGGCATGTCTTTGGAGCTGCGCTACAGCACAGCAGACTGGCAAACAAGTGTACGCTCTGATCCACTAACATGGAAGTGGAAACCCTGGAAAGACCGCTTTGCTCGAACAGTCCCTGTTGGTGTTTCGGGTCCCTCACTCGATCTCCTTCTCCTGACCCTAGAAGCTGCGGCCCAGCATGGACGAGTCGGTCCACCTTTTCTCTGCGCACCCTTTCAGAGAGTAAGAATCCGGTTCACGCAGTTGCCCGAAGAAGGGGAACAAGCGAACAAGCACCCGGGAGTTAGCACAGTTTGTTGAGCAGGAAATTCGGTAGATGAGGGTTGCAAAGACATACATTTCTGTTCATTCGCTTCGGTGTCGACCTCTTTCTGACCGACAGGCCCTCAAAAAGTCCTGAAACACCTTCACTAGGGTGCGCAGCCTTTTTGGTGCTAAGGTGTGTGACCCAAGATTCATGGCGGTGATCGATGGTTGAAACATGTTGAAACTGAAAAGCCAACTTGGAGATTCTAGACTAGACGGCAACTGCCTTTACATGGTACATGCGCTAATTGTCTGCGTGCCACCTTCCATTCAGACTTCTAAAAAGGCATGATTCCTTGATAATTAAGTCGGACATCCGACCCTTCTGGTACAACTTGATCGAGGTTCATTCCAAGTTTGAGGGCAAATCGGCACGGTCTCACCTCCACAGTCCAACCTGAGACACAACGCACGTTTCGGCGATGTTTGAGTAAGACGAGATGCAGCTTCATGACACAGTGCAGCTTTCTGAAAGCCTCGGTTTGGACCAAAATCGACTCACCTCACTTCACCTACCAAAAAGACGCACAGGTTTGGTCTCAAGAACCTGGAAAAGCTATCAATACACAGACGAGATGCAATAAAACTCTTGTCACGTCCCTTTCTTTGAATTCGCCTAGGGGGGGGCCTCCGTACAAGTTCAATCTGTTAAACAAAACATTTACTTCATTGCCCAGAGCTTGCGCATAAGGGGAGCAGCTAGTGAAGATCTAACACCAATAGTGCAAAGGGAGAAATGCGACGAAAGCCTGCTCTGCTTTCTCGAACCAGTAGACTCAGTAGAACTTCCGTTCCGCCACATGCCCCCAAAAAAACACCAAAAAGAAAACACGAAAAGGGAGGGCCCAACAAATTAGCTTTGGAGTATGTACTTCATCACAGCCTCCGGGGACATGGTTGACACAACGAACGCGTGACACCTCGGGGGGCGTCCCGTCACGGGCGTCCCGTCGGCCGACACCCGGGTGACCGAGACCGAGACGGTCCAGGCGAACCCTGCCGTTGGACTCACCAGCTGGTAAACAAGCACTCAACTATAGATATGCATTGATAGGTATATAAATATGATATAAATAAATATGATACATATGTATATATATATATATACTGTGTATATATGTGTATGTATATATATATATATCTGCCCGACGGGTTTGGACAAGGCGGTGGCGTTTGGTGGAGCCTGAGGGTGGTTTGCGTGTGTTTCATTTTGTAAGTTCCTTTTTTGCGTGTCTTTCTTCTGGCTGCAGGTGTGCAAATATCTTTCCTCACCACCGTGGTAAGTCCCAAACAGAAAGTATCTATCCACTGCTCCAATATAAATGGACTGATTTGTCACAGCCACTCTCAGGCCAGCCACCAGCAATGCGACAGGGCAACACCTAAAAAAAACATACAGCGACCACTATATAATCCTTGAGCACGGACACCGCCTTTCACTGACATGTTGAAGAAAAAAATATCTTCACATCTGTAAAATTGTGCTGAATAAGTATTATATAATCATATCTGTGTGCGTATGTTGCCACAGTCGTGATTGTACCTGCAAACAGGAATGCTACACACTGCACCAAACCGCGCACACCAACACCAACCACCGCCGCAACCACCCCAATATTCCTGCACCGTGCGCGCGTTGTGCCACTTCTCACAGCGTCCCATAGGTTTATACCCCATAACTTCCCCCATACACATCGACGACACACACTCCTGCATCGAGGCTAACAGCTAACACTGCCCCCCACCCAAAAACATAAGTCGCATCAACCACGCAATAGTAAATATGACACAGGTAGCATTCCTCCTGCCTGCGCGGACAACATAGATTGCACAAACTTTTGGGAACTCACACGGCAACTTGGAATTTGAACGAACTTCGGAAATTGCCACCGGTGAAAGCAGCACCTGGCAACCACGTGCAAACGAGAATTTAAAACACACAAAACAAACACGTGGTCAATCACGCAAGAATTGGTTTCCCACCACGAAGCCCTGCAAAACACGAGCAGAATGGAGACCGCTTCAAATTGCCCGCAGGATGCTACATATCTATCATATCAGTCGTGTCAGGAATCTCCGTACGCCGCTCACCTTTCTGACAAGCAGCCGCTCTCACCCTCGTTCTTGATGCATTCTTCCATGCGCTTAGCACGGGCCAGCGAGGCAATCTTGAAGAAAATCTGCACGGGCCAAAGTGACAATGTATAACAAGTTCATTCTAGAATGTGCGCGCGTGGTCCGGAATGGGTGAGGGATCAAACAAAGATTGAGAATAGCATAATTAAAAAGGTTCGAGGGGGATCGAAGAAAGAAAGTGATCAAAAAGATATGCCCAGTGAGCAACGAGAGGAAAAAAAATATTAGGGAAAGGACAGAAGTAGCAGGGCGGGCGACCAAAGGACAATGAAAGGATGTTTGCAACACACAGTCCCCGAAGAAAAAAAAAGACTTAGGCGAGGGTGTGCGATATTTGGTGTGGATATGCGATGGGTGACCTCTAAAAAGCCTGTCGTGACAGACCCAGTGCATTGGCAAAAGTAGTGCAGGTTTTCGTGGCGCTGGAGAGGGGTTGCGAACTACAAAAGCCAACAGACTCAGAAGGCACCACAGTATGGATCAGCATCGAAAACTACTATTTCCCTATCCATGAAGGGATCATCCACCAAAGGACAATGAAAGGATGCTTGCAACACAAGATCAAAAGACTTAGGCGAGTGAGGTCAATATTCTGTGTGAGTCTGCGATGGGACCTTATGCCGTGGTAGGCAACGCATTGGCAAAAGTAGTGCAGACTTCGTGGCGCTGGAGGAGATTTGGAGGGAGGTTGCAGCGCCTCCCCCCCAGAGCGAACCAAACATCAAAAGCCACAAAAGGCGCCACAAAATAGATCATCGAAAACTACACACCCCATTGCCTCATCAATGAAGGGCACTCAGAAAGTGACGCAAGGATCAAGGAAACCGGGTGGCTTTTGGTTCTCGCAAACCTCGTGTTTGTGACCGGCCACGAGGCCAGCGGACCAGGACAAGGACCAAAGGACCAGGAGCCCAAAGGATCAGGGGATGAAAGGACCAAAGGACCAGTCGACCAATGGACTAGGGGACCTGCTTGGGATTATTTTTGTTTAATCATAGTGTTTTGTTGATCCTGATATCTTATACCTTTATATTATGCGTTTGTTTGATCAAGATGCCGTCTGCGACGCCCTCAAGCCTTCATAAGTTTTTGTGTAGCTTCCAAAGATCATAACATGTTCTGACGTAAGAGCGTGAGGTAGTGCATGAAGAAGTGCATGGAGGAACCAAATCCTCCTGAAAGCACCTTGCAATGTTAAGCCTTACTTACCGTCCCACTGCCACCCCTTTTCTGTGCTGCACAGTGGTTCGGGAAAAGGGCAAACATCACCTCATCTGCACTTCCAATCTCAGTGGGGTAAACATGGCTGCACCAAGGTCGCTGGACAAACCTCGATGCATGCAGGATGCGAGGAAGCGAAGTGAATGGGGAATGGGACCGGATTTCCTCGGCCTCACGCTCAGTAGGTGCCACATGAAGCGAACAAGGGGTCAAGTCCTCCAGTGCTTTCCACGTAGCAGCCTGTCGACGGCCACAGATTGGCAGCCGCTGGCTCCTTTCACTCGCTCCGTTCATACCAAGCCGCGTCCCTCTTCTGATATCTGCCATCGAGTTGCAACTCCAAATTCAAGCGCACCGCCCACGACAGGCGACCCGACATCCGGGACGGCGTTTGTGTTCCGGGCCATTCAAGGATGGCCAGGAACACAAAAATTACCTTTGTCATCTTTAATGTAACGCTTGACGTGTAGACTGTAGACTCTGTCGATAATGGTTCTAGCGTGCAATTCCAAACCTGTCTTCTGCTCTGGTCACTCGCGCCCGCACGAACTCATCGACTTCCACATACTGCCACTCCACGAAGTTCGTGGTCGAAGCTGTTGGCTTGTTGTCGACTTCCAAAACTGAGTTTTCGAACCCATCGCCTTGACTGATCACCCAGCAGTCGAACCATCGACGTCGGTGGCCGTCTCGACCGATGCCTTGGAAGCGCCCAGCGCATCGGTAGCGCTGCCGCGGGCTGAAGGCCGAGATCTCGACGCGCTGGCCGTTCAAAGCCCTACTAGTTGCATCCTTGCTACTAGTAGCAATGGCCTCCAATCTGGAAGCTTCTCGATTTAGCCGCAGCCCTTCTGTCAGCTTGGCGCTCTCGTACATGGACCGTCATCACAGGACCTGGCGCCGACCGCAGGACCTGGCGACCGCCTGCTTTTCGCTCGCGTCCGGGGCCTTCACTGGTCACGGCGGACTGGCGGACTGGCACTGTCGCCCGTAGCGCCAGGAAAGCCGCCCGTCGGGGGCCATCCGTCCGCGCCTCCGCCTGAGCTGCACGGCCATAGGGTCTGACTATGGGAGGTCCTACCCAAAGCACACGCCCCTTTTCTGAGCAAAACACGGCCTCGGAAAATGCCAACGCTGCCCGAATGGATCATCAGCCCACAGCTTCCACGTGTCGACACTGCATTTCTCTGCTTCGCGCCTGCAAGACCACCTGATTGATGATGGCCTTGCTGGGTGGAACCAGGCCGAATGGCCGGGTCCAACCACTGGCCGTTGGATGATTCGACATGAACCGAAAACGAAGCTAAGCACGTCCAACGAATCAAAAGGCCTTCAAAAATCATCTGTGTTTGGTACTCCGCCTCTCGAAAAGACCCAATCGGATGGAGTTCCACGACCCTTCGTGAAGCCCAGAGAAGCTCACCCCAGAAAAACGCTCCAGCTGAGCGCTCCCCGCTGGAAGAAATGCAAGCACCGGCGACGAGCTAAAGACCTGGCCCAATTCATACCACTTCAGCAAAACAAATCGGTTGTGTCATGTTGTGTCTGAAACTCTAACTTTTGTCTTGGCCAAATCGAGAAAATACATCTCCACAGCCCCCTATGACGCCTTGACAGCTTGCAGATGTGCTCCCGCATTGATGGCGGCAAAGCCCGACATGTGTGCCAAGAGCATCGCCCAGCACCTGAACTCTCAGGACATGTCAGGACACGGGTACCCCGTCGTGTGGAAGCCAAGGCCGCCAAAGGTTCAATGGTCTTACAAGAGCACATCCCAGTATGGTGCATGAGAATTTGGAAGATCAAAGAAGTTCTCGTCCACTTCTTGACATCTGCAGTAGTTTCACCCAGGCCTCATTCGTCTTTGTGCCAACATCAGGTTGACCTTCTCCTTCGCGACCTTGGGTCGCGTTTACCGTGTGACCGTGCTGCCTGTTCACAGCAAGGCTTGGAGAAGCGAGGGTTTTTCCGGGGTCGAGGATGTTCGAGGTCGGTTAGCTGGGTTTCATTGGTTGTGTGATTTGTATGGGCAGTGTTTCTGAAGGGGCCTCCAAGGCCTCCAAGGCTCAAGGAGAGGAGCACCTCTTCCGGTTTTTCAGCGTTGAGTGATCAGTGCCGAGTTCCGGCCGCTTCGTCTCTGTCCAAAACGGCCAAGGGACTGCGACTTCCACGCCGTAGTGGTCGATCCACACCTGTGGGGCGAGACATGCGACATCATGAGACGATTTCCAGGACGCATGTCCATAGTCCATGCGAACTCAGGACGCGGAGCTGTATCCATCTGATCTAGTCTGACCTCATCTACTCCTGACCTGATCAAAGAACATATTTGACTCCTTTTTTCTGCATCCATGCTTTGCTTTGAGACTCATTGAGTGGAGGACTCATGAAGATTGGCTCGGACTAAGAGGGCACATATATATATATATATATAGAAGGTAGCTGTGAAGAGTACAAGTGCGGGGATACTCCGAATTCCACCAATGGCGATCATTGGAACTCATGGTGGTACAGAACCCAAATCAACCCAGCTGCCATAACTCCCGCTATCTATCTGAGTGTGTGTGAGTTTGTGCCAAACCTCCGTGTGTGCATGTCAGACAAGCACAGGCAGTTCCATGTCGGACAAGGCACGCTCTTTTTGGCCAACTTGTTTCTCACGTGCTCCACCTGCAACAGGCCGACTCGTTGACTCTCGTTGACTCGCGTGCTCCGTGCTGACGGATGCGGTTGCCGGTTACGGAGACGTGCACTGGTCTTTCATAGGCCCATAGGCTTCTCATCCATCTGTTCTTAAATGCGTCCCTCTCTCAGAAAACCACCTTCACCTCCCCTCAATTTTAGCTTCTCCCCTGGCCCACTCACTTTGGAGCCCAACCAACACCTCCACTCATCTTCACCTCTGCCCTCCCATCTCGTCGTCCCGTTTATCCGTTTCTCGTCCCCGTGTCTCTCGAGCCACCTCCGCTTTGGGCAGCGGAGTGCTGAAGTCTGACCTGCCGGTCACATCACGCCGCGACGTGAGGTTGTTCGGTGCCGTCATCATGTTTGCGATGTGAGAAGCTGCTCCCAGTGAAATAGAAAACGGAGGCACGACCAAAAGCAGGTAGTACAAACAAACGAGAATGTAGCAGCCGGCCAATTTCACAGACAGCCCGTTTTTCAAATGCCCTCACCCCTCCAGTCAATCCACGGAACCTCAAGCCATCAGCGACAATCCATTCCTCACTGTCAAAGTTCAATGCTTCGCCACCCATCCTCAGAAGAAACAATGCTGTCCTGGACTTCTGCCATCAGGATACAGATGGCCAATGGTGGTACTAGCTCCCAGTCTCGAACTACACCGGCATAGACCCCAGATATCTAGTATACAGCTCTAGAAGCACAGGCAGGCAAACGGGAAGGCACTTTAGTGGGTGTCAAAACTGCAGTTTGGGACCTGTCCGCGAGCTTTTGCGTGCACAACTAAATGGGCCAAGGCTGTGGCGAAATTGCCGTCTAGGACCCTTGTTGGGGAGACAACTTAGGAGACAAGGCAGCAACCAAACAAAACTAAAATTCCGATCACACAGTGAGGAGACAAATGGAGAGACAAGCGGGAAGGTAAGTAGGGGGACTAGGCAGCGTAACGGCAAACAAAACGCAGATCACACAGACCAATCAGCCACCGGCCATTGAGAAATAAGAACCCCATATAGCTTTCAGCTACCTGGGACTTACATGTTTATGTGATATGTACAACTCACAGAGAAACCAACACCGTCTGACATGCGACACCTCCCGTCCGAGAAGCTTCAGAAGGTTAGCAAAGCATATTGTAAGGAGTATCCCTTTATGGCTTCTAGGTCTGTTCCCTTCATAGGATAACGCAATCCGGTTGCAGTCGCTACCTTAGCAATCATGTGTGGCATCGGTTAGTTAGTATATCTAATCGTTTTTCAGGTCCGCTGCCACGGTCCAAGTGGAGACAAGGCAGCGGCAAACAAACCGATAGAGGCAGACAAGTGGGGAGACATTGAAGGAGAGAAGTGAGAAGACAAGGAAGCAGCGGCAGCGGTGGACCAACACGCAAAGCAGCTACCCAGTCATTGAGAAGTGAGAACATGTACATAAGAACCCCTATAGCTTTCAGCTATCTGAGGAAAAACTGCTCCCTAGTGGCCTCCAGAACCCTTATGCATTCACACCCCTTAAGGTTTTTGGCATGGTGCAGCCAGGTTGCGGAGTCACTCCTGAGAAATACCCGATGAAGATCTGCATGGACTGGCGCAGGCGCGCCCGTGGTCGTCGCCCGTTCCCCACATGCAGCCGGGCGCGTGGTGAATCCCTAGCGCCCCAAGTGCTTTGGCCCGACTGTTCCCTCCACCCTCCGGCCACGATGTAGATGGCGCAGTGGACAAATTGAATCACCACCCTGGACAGGAAGAAATTCCAAGGGCATATGAGGAAACCCAATTAATTCTGCAGGGGCACAGACAAATAGCAAAACCCAAGCTCTATAGCTCTGCTTGCTGTCTTTCAGGCCTCTCCATTTCTGCAAGACCTTCTGTGAAGCGAGTGATTTGTTCATTGATGCCCTGGTACATCAAAACCTCAGCTGTCTCAAAATCAGTCTGCCCGTCAGACCGACTTGGAGATGTCTCAGCACGACACGGCTGAGAAGATGGACATGGTCATACCTCATCGAGCCAGCGCCACATGTCTTGATTCCAACCCTTGCTGAGTCTGGCCAAGTGAGTCTGAGAGAGTTGCTAATGATGTTCATGGAGTAGTAGCGGATATCATCATCGTTCCAGTTTACCTCGGAAGACGGCAGCACTATGGCACTGCTGTTGCCCGTCCCCCCCTTCACGAAGAACTTGGAAGCTCGCCAGGTAGAACATAGATACCACGAAAATCACCGCGCCCAAAAGCATGTACGCGACCTGCGGATGAAAAGGCAAAATGGATTCGCCATGTTTTGCCCCAAAACGATGTCTGGACATGTCTGGACCCCTCCACACAGGCAAAGCATGGCAAAAACCCTCCGCATGACATGATGACATGATGACATGACTATGATGTTGGTGTGCCATGTCAAGAGTTGTGAGGTCATGAAGAGCTGTGTCACCACAAAGCCCATTTCATCCCTTCGCTCAAGAAGAGACACGTCTCTTCTTGAGCTGAACGGTAGCGATGCGGTGCCTCGCTATCCGCCTCCGTGGGAATTTCTTCCTCTTCCTCCGCATTTACTTTGTCAAATAGATCAAAGGCCTTCCTTCTCTGAATTATGCCAGCATAGACCCCAGACAGGTTAGTCAGCAAACTGTTTGGGGAAAACTTACATGCAGTGTCCTCTTCTCCCTCTTCTGCACCTTCTTCAAGAGCCCCTTCACCTTCCATGATTCAAGTATTCAATAGAGGTTGCTTTACATCGACATAGGACAAGGTGCCGCCAGGATTGAAAAATGAAAAGTAGGCAGGCAGTTTAGGATGAATGTTCAATTTATATATAACTATATGTTATTCATAGGGGGGCATGATCAGTGTTACGAATCCCGACATAGCTGCAAAAAGCAGCTCCACTGCCTTCTGCGCTGGCCAATTCGGCGCCCTCCTCTACGCTACCTGCGGCGGAGGAGGGCGAACTGCAAAAAGGGGCCACAAAACTGGACGTCGCGGCCAACGTCACATTCGACTCACAAAACATGGTCTCCCACTCTCCCCAGTCCCATCACCTTCACTTGCCACTTCGGCGCCCTCCTCTTCGCTAGCTTCCTGGGGCACAACGAGTAACCAGAAGGCTTTAAGTCTTGCTTAAGTCTCGCATGTGCGCTTGTGCAATCAAGAATTAAAAACATTTCACCCAAGGCGGCTCCACCACAGTCAAGCTGGACCCAAGTACATCCCCAAAATGCCCCCGGTGTCACTTAATGCAATGTGTGGCGGGGTCTTGGTCATAAGAGTTCTGCAACAGTTTCCTTGCCTTCAGTTAGACCAGCTGTTGACATGGAAAGGGGCTAGGGTCCTCCTCGAGCACCTGCCGAAGACCTGCATGATCCTGGCATCAATACGTGAATGGATCATGCCATCAACATATGCTGTTTTCTGATGTGTTTGCACCATGAAGGCGGCCGTAGTCACTAGTCTTTACGGCGGGAACAAAGCACCCCCACGTTCTT